CCGCCTCCTCGCCCTACTGTACATACTTAATCTGTTTCGCTACTCCCGTCTGTTGAAAAATCTTACGCCGCCCAAGTTGTCTTTTCTTACGCAGCCGTGCATTTACCCCATTGCATTCTTCATATCCCAGTAAATTTATGAGAAAAAGGAGTCGATATGCAGACGATCGACAGGTGCGGCAACGCAAGTGCACACAATATAAATTTTTATTTAAAATTGAAATGGAACCCATTAAAACTATCGTAGGATGTCTAACGAAACCGAAGCTGTTGTTTCTCTTACAATAATTATAGTCATCTTAAAGATATGGTATACATGTTTGCTTGCACGTGTCGTTCTGGATAATGACTATGTAAAACTTGTGCTAAAATCGAGTAACTCGACTACCCGTCAGTATAAATGCTTCTACAGCAATAGAGACCCCAATAGGGCATCAGACGTTTTCACGTTATACTTACTCTGATTTGCCACCCACTCGAAGACGTGCGAGCGCGCATTGCGATCCATCAATATTGCACTCCGCGGATCCAATGGGGGCCTTCTGATTCTGTGGCTCAGAATCGTTGCGTGTCCCCTGACGCGTACAGAGCAAATCTCCCCTCAGTTGGTAGTCCCAACGTTGGATTTATGATAGACCCGATATCTAAGCAACGCAGAATACTGACGTAAGCGCGTCGCAAGTACGTGTACAATTAATTAAAAGAAATCGCTCGTTTGAAACAGCAGCGGCGGCAAACGAGGAGCGAAGATTTTTCTCATTTCACAATCGAGGAATCTCCGTCTACGAACCATCGACCTGCCGTCTATACCATCAGATCAAGTCGACGGACGTTATTCCGGGCACACGGGTCAGTATTTGATTGTCCATTACGTTAGTTGTTGACAATTTAAAAGGTCGTGTATGACGAGTGCCGCCGGTACGAGCCATTTCGAGAATAACTCTGTAATATCACGTTGTGCCAGCTACAACTTCAGAGCTAATCGCTTGCTCTTCGTCTCCTACTTGGTTGTTCGATTCGCGATATGATCGACCCCTCCTAACGCTCGCTCATGAGCTTTTCTCAACTTTGTATTTCATATGCAGGAATACGTTTGCGGAGAAGGGGGAGTCTCTTGCTCGTGGGGTCGTGCAATTAATGTGGCCAATCGCTACGTGTACGTTAGCCAGCCGAAAAAGGATCGTGTGCTCGTCATTAGTAAGATCCAAATGGTCGTCGTCGACGTAAGTTATAAAACTACCTATAGATATGTACCTACGCCAGGTGCCTTTGATTTGACCAATTCGTAACAAAGGGGACTCTTCGACTGTCAATTAGGTTGTCATCACGGACAAGTATCCTGTCGAGCTAGAATACGCCGCTGCTCTGGATCAGGTTTGGATTTTGAATTGGCGCAGCGAACGAGACATCGGTATCAAAACTGTTCAGGTGATCAGGGATGCAGCCCAAAAGAGGAAACACCATACGGTTCATCCCGAACCGATCGACGGACACTTTGATCTCGTGCGCGGTCTCTACATACCGGAGAGACAGGTTCGTCAATCTGGGCCGACCTCTTTGTCTTTGGTAACAGAGATTGATTTCACTTTCCAGGACATTGGGCATGTGTTCAAGTATGGCTACGTTACGCATACGAATCAACGCGGTATGTACAAATTGGACTTGGCGAATATGCGGTACACTCGCAGCGCCGACCTTGCTCCTTATAATTGCGTACCGAGGAACATTCAATTTCCGGCACTCTGTAAGCACGACTTCGTCTGTTGGCTCTATGCGGCCAAATATGTAAAATACTCTCGCGCGCTGCATCTTCTTATTGGATCTCGTATCCGCGTGCAGATGGATTCGTTGTGCTCGAATGCGAGGAACCAGTAACCGCTCGAGCTACCGGACAACTCCTTCTGGATTACCTCACTGACACCGTACTGGCCCACAAACCGGCCCTCGTAGGGAAGCCGCTCGTCTCTCCGGATTCGAGGCACCTCGTAACTTTCGACAAGCAGGGCAGCGGCGTCCTTCTTGTTGTTCAAGAAATATTACGTAAATACGACAATCTCCTTCCCTTCTGTTGTCTCTTTTTAATTGTACTCTCACTGTAGTTCGGGCCCGTGACATCGATCGACGTCACTCTCGATAAGGAGCTCTTTTACTTATACGGTCCAATTCAATCATACCGTAGTATCCACCTGAGTTCGATCTGTCGTCCCAATAACTCTTGAAATTTCATTCCTGCTTCAGCAACTGGCCTCAAATTTGCCTTTGATGTCAAGACGACGCTTAATATCAGCGACATCGCATTCTATCCATCGCAAACGACACACGGATACGATCTCTACGCCTCCTCCATTGACAAGGAAGATATCCTCTTCTTAAACTTAGCAACCGGTAAGAATTTATCTATACGCTCGGCATAGATTATATACGGATTTGAAATCTCTCGCGCCAATTACAGGCAACCAACTGTATGTATGTACATACAGAGGGCACGGTTCGCGGAGACTTATTGCTAAATATGTAAGTCACTACATATTTGCCTATTGTATTGTATAATCTAGCACTGCCCCATAATTTCAATTGTATTTTAAAAATTTCCTATAACGTTTTCACTACTCTTTTACGTAAACTACTGCTTCTCGTATTTAATTATCTTTTAATGGTCATTTATAATAATAAAAACTTTAGGTGATTCCTTATTGAGTACCACTTGGAGGGTCCGTGCCAGGAATTCCAAAGTACTTACTTTTTGAACGTACCAATAGTATTCTAAGATTATATATTTCTTACTAGAGGTTTTACTGTGATTATCTTTCACGAGTTATTGTTAATGTGTCCTGTATAGAAAGTTGACGCTGGTTTTGAGTTTGAAGATTGGCATAATGAGCGCAAATTTATATCAAGCGATGCACGGACCCGCCAAGTAGTACTCGATAAGGAATCACCCAAAGTTTTTGTCATCATTTAATTACCATTGAATCATAATTACATATACGAGAAGCAGTAGTAATATAAAAGGAAACGTTATAGGAAATTTTGAAAATACAATTAAAACGATCAGTCAGAGCTAGATCATACAATAATAGGCAGATATGTAGTGACTTATGTACTTGACATAGTTTTTTACACGTAAGTGTTTTTCTGGGGGATCAAAGGTGACAAGTATCTATTTTCATCGACTAACGACAATCATTTGATCCGTCTTGTGCAAATTCTTTAGAAAAGTAAATAGTTGACAAAAAGATGCAGCAAACCTACATTTTATTTTTCTCAATTTTCAGGCAAAGTCGAAATGATCACCGGCGTCGGAAAAGCCATGCCAACGAATATGACAAAGTGGGGAAATCCAAACAGACCGATCGTCGAGAGCGGTATATTTGGCCAGTACATGGTGAGCCCGTCGAACGAAGCACTCTTCGTGTTAAATGGAGAAACGCGAACGGTCAACTGTGAAATCGGAGGACTTACGCATCCCGGTGCTGTTGTGTGGTTCACCGTTTCGCTCCATTGATTAATCACATTACTCATCATCTATCCATTCGTCATATTGTATCATTCGGTCTTTCATCATTCGAGTAATCTGTACTCACAGTGTCGCCTCTTAATCAGCAGTTCTCCATGAATTTCACTAATGCACCAAGGAGAGCAAATGTTCGCTGACTATCGGTGCGATGTTATTTTAAATGGCAGGGTGCGATGGCAAAGTATGACACCGCGGAGTGGTCGAAACACGATGTAACACACAGATCTAGTCATTTTCAAATAAAAGTCAAGAAAATAAGCGTATAAGAAGAAAAATAGACTGAAACATGAAAAGAAAAAAAAACTACGTATCTACGTAATTAGTGATGTCGTTGAAACAATGCTGCCAGTCGATTACAATATGTGAACAATATCAAGATCGCGCGACTCTTCAGATATATCATCTTCACGCTAATTCTTAAGAGACTCATGCACGTGTATGAGTATATGCATACGTGTCATGTAAATCTAGAAGATGCCATGTCGATTAAACGCATGCATTTTTATTGAAATCCTTATGCACTTGTCACGCAAATCTATGCATATGCATATACAAACGCATACACAATACGCATTCATTCATAACTATATAAAATCGTAAAAAAAAATAGCATTTTTATGAAGAACTAGTGAAAAATCGCCTGACTTGAGATATGTAATGTTAATGTTAAGTAAAGCGGGGGGGGTCATCAGTCTTCATGTTGGACGATGAAGAATGAAGAAAATATTTAAAATCTGTACTTTGCTTTGACGAATCGAGGTCGAGGCGTGTGTCTCTGTGCATGAACTCGTGCTGGTGACAAAAAAAAACGAACGACGAGATGAAAGGGCAAGAGCTGCGAGAAAAAAGGACCCAACGAGAATCGAGTAATTAAAAAAAGAAATGTAAACGAAGGCTCCGGATGACATTCGTGCAGCTGGACGATAATTATAGGTACTAAGTGTACATGTTATAAATAAAAGTTGATCTTTTGATATATATAATGTACAGTGGACTCTCTCTAAGAGCAGACAGCTGGGATCAGAATCGTGTGCTGTTAGAGAATGTTCCCCGCCATCGATCGCGTATACGTCATCTACGTACGCTGCTAGACGACTTACGGCGGTGAACTTATGCGCGCGCATCACCATACAGTTATAACTACCGACCAGTGGGAGTAACATTTTTCCCTCTCGAGCCTAGCGACAGTGCGAATTCACGGAAAACGTGTTACCAGAGAGCGTGCTCTTAGGAAGAGTCGATTTTATATAAGGAAAACAAGAATATTTGTACATGTTATACATATATGTTGCGGTAAAGATACGTTCGCATTTTTTTAACGGCAATTTAAGTCAACTCTACTCTCTGTGATTCGTTATGTGTCGTTCGTTCTTTGCTGCCATTCGAAGCACAACAGTTAAAAATTACTTTTGTTGGAAACGAAATGTTCTTTGGATATTAGAGACAGAAATAGGAGCTCATGCAATATCAGCAAAGCGTATGATGAATGAATCTGATTTAACATTAGTTAATCCTGTTAGCCTAGGATAGGTTAACTGTTGATTTGCCGATACTTAATCGCATTCTCGTCTCCCACGATTGGTTACTTTATCCCATATTTCCGAACTAAAAATCATGAGCTCGAACGTTTTAAAATTCGTCAATCGAACGTCGAAATTCAAACAAATTTAAGTTACATATTAGTTGTTACGTCACAAAGTACTCGCAACGACGTACTGCCGACACAAGCACGTTTCGGCTCAGGTGAAGCGTGCGCGCGCGCGCGCGCGTGTGTAAGCAGGTGCGCGTCCACAACGGAAGCTACCACGACGAACAAGTGAGGATCTATGCCACCTAATTTTCGGTCTAAACGCTAGGGCGTTTGGAGTTAGCACAATGTAGTATCTTTTTTAATTTAACCTACGGCTGAGCATTTGGGTTAACCACACGCGGCAGTGTGTCGCTGGCGTCGGCGAATGACAGTCACTTCGTGCGGCTTTCCAACAGTATTAAGTTAAGTACCAAATATAGTACCAGCGATTACCGAAATACATTTGTCGCTATACTTATGTATACATTTCAAGTTTCTCTTGTGAGCTATTCACGACTTATTCTATGTAATATGTGAGAAAACTAGCGTGTTTAGTGTCGTAAGATATAGAAGAGCGTAAGAGTTATTTTGTTATCGTTATCCATATCGTAATGTGACTGTTTATAATTATGCGAGACCGCACCGTCAAAGTACTGATATAAAAGACCTTACAGAAACCGATCGCGGAGCCACGAGAGGCACCCACCCGTTACATGTATCCGTCACTTTTGTTTTTTCGATGTAACTTCGCGGTTGAGGAGAAGGACCGTGCTGTGCGCCCGACGTCAATTCAGCTTCGCGCATGGCCACATTATTTGACATTTTACTTCGTTTCTGATACTTTGCACATGCCACTCATCGCTTGTCACAACGGATAGTTTAATTTCGAATTCAACGAATTCCAAGTACGCTGTTTCAGCGACTCGGGAACATGCAAACGTGTTCAAGTAACAGTAGCGTATCTCGTGTACCCGCATTACGCACGTTCACCGTCGACTTCCAATAAATCAAGCAACCAACACAGCAACTCGTTTATAGCAATTCTGGCTATTAGTCTCACCGACTCAGTATAGTTTTACGAGGTAACAATAATTATGTATATTGGTGGATGTTTGTTACGGCAAATTCCGTGTAATAAAAGTACTATAGCAAAAAATTTAACAAAAGAATCCATAAATCGACGGATACTACGCTGTATCAATGCGAGGCGAACGACACTTGCCAAGTTAATAATTACACCTTGAATTTTTCGTGATTATATTTAACTATGGTACAAATTTTATACATACAGATAGATCGATGTAAGTATATACTTATTTTTCGCCGCCATACGCATGAAGTATGAAATGTATACGGATAATTTTCTATACTTTTTTTTTGCATCCTAAAAATTACCTAAGAATTTCTTTCCTCCTATTTCAAGGGAACGAAGAAGAAAGATTAACATGCGAGCCGTACAATGGATTTCTGACAAAACTTCATTCAATAGATATCACCTAAAGTTTGGCTTAACACACCCACCCACGGACGCTCAGTCATTCGTCTATGCATGCACGCACACAAATACACAAAGGCACGCACGCAGAGACACATGTCAATACGTTTTACATGAATTCAATCGAATGTGAATTATAACGGTCGAAAACTGTATAAAAGCTGTCACGTGTTTAATGTTTTTTGTTTCTCTTATGATTTAAGCATGTAAAATCATATGGGAATATCAGACTTTCATTTTTAAGACGGAAATCGATTCGCGGAACGTGAAACTTATTTAAACTGTTAAGTATTAAAATTTTGTACGTTCCGTTGAACTTTATCCTTAGTAACGTGTATTCGAGCGATGTACTTTCAATCGTAGAAAAACTGTACGGTCTGAAGTAAGCTCAAAACGAATGCTGGCTTACCAGTGCTGCACACGATAATTCATGTATCTACCGATATTAGCGTACGATTGATTGATTGGGTCAGGTCCTGGCGACGAATAACGATTGTTGTCACTCATATATTGCACGGTTTCAAGGAAGTCCCCTGTCGACTGTAAAAAAGGATATAAGCGTTGCTAAAGTCTTCTTCTTGGGGTTTCTGCCTGCTCGTGATCTCGTCATTATAATAGTACCAGACATCTGTTTTAGGATTTTTCGCATAGGCAGTGTAATGACCCGCCGAAAGACCTGCATGCAAAAGATAAATAGAGTATAATGCCGCGCTTATCAAGCGATTCGTGTAATACGGGCGTTAATCGATAAAAGTTTAAACAAAGAACTTCGTATTCTCTTAGTCTGGACTCACCTCCAAAGTGACAGACGCATGCATAAAGGTCGTACAGATGTCTGCCCACGCTCAATCCGACCAGAGGGAAGGTAACTTTGTCGTCGAGCTTCATACTGACACATTCGTAGAAAACGAATCTACAAAGGAAGAATACAAATATGGGCAAGGGCAGCGAGAATCGGAATTCAAATTGAACTTGATAGAGCCTGCTGTTATTAATTGCAGTTTGTAGTTATCAAATATAGGGCACAGATGTCGTCTTTCATTACCACTATTCACGATTATCTGTTCGTTCATTATTACTATTGACATTTTATCATGACAACAGTCATCTCTCCACTAGCTTTAACATAATCGTATTCGTCAATGGCATCATGCAGCCTACCTTTTAAGATAAACTATGAGAAACTTGGGATAACGATGGACGGTTAATGTTTTTGTAGCACACTGGTTACGCTGACACGTTGGGCAAAACCATGGATTGAGCTCGTCCAAGGTTTCACTGAAATCGGAGGTGAAAGTGACGCGTTAGCTAAATGAAAGATAATAAAAAGTTACCAAGTAAGTTTAATCGTAGAGAAGGATCAATTCGGATTGTTGGCGGGGCTTACCTTTGACTAAATGCTTGCAGACAATCGTAAAGGGAGAGCGGATGGTGGGGCCGTTGTCTCGTTAAAGTAATATGTTCAATTGGCTGAACGATCTTCGGTAGATTTTCCGTATATCGGATGGCGAGGGTATCGCCATTCTGAAGTGCAACCAAGCCAGTTTCCGGCACCCGACAACCAGTACAGTGTGCGGTGTACATACAGCGTGAACAGTGATGTCCCTACGTATCAACGAAAGAAAAATACACGCGCATTAGGTGACGTTATTTCAATATTTATTGATTGACAGATATACTCTTCTCTAGAGCCTTGTCAATTTGGAGGATTGAATATTTCTAACGGGTAGCATGAGAGCGAGAGGGGTTATCAGATGAAATAAGGTTTTAAAACCGACCTGTCCGTCGACAAAGTGAACCGTGTAGCTGCCATGTTGCGGTATAACCTTCTCAATAATATCGTAGAGATCCTTTGCATTGACTCTCGAGGGCAACTTAACTAGGTGTGGATATCCAAAAAGCTTGGTACCCTTACGGTTGTTGGTTGTTTCGTTGGTATCCTGTCTCAGTACAACCGGGACATTCAGAATGCGAACAGCTGGCCTCGGCCTACCAGTCTGGTCGATCTTTGCAAACGACGAAGCCGTTACATACGTTGAACACACTGGGCACATTTGAGGTTCCGTTTGATTCTTGAAGTAGTTCTGTTGGTTAATGGGCACTGCTCTAAATTGTCATTTTAGCTGATTTCGGAAATAAATTCGTGATACAGAAACAGATGTAATACGTTCGTTTCAATATGCGATAAAACAGAAAAAATTAAAAAATAACTAGCCATTGCTACTCAACGTAAAGATACGTTATAACGTTAAATTGCTTTCACTCTATAAGATTTCACTTTTGATTGTTTTCCCGTGTGAAAAATTTGTGAAACAAACTAAAACGTATAACGGATATACAAATTCTAGACACCGACAATACGAACTACTTAGGGTGTGTTCCGAAATGTACTGACAGTACTGCCAGGACTGTAACCAACGCTGTGTCCTTATTCATCCATACGCATCTAAGAGAGATGTAATTACTTTTACAGTACTGTCAGTACATTTCGAAACACACCCCTAATTGCAGTTCAATTACGGCATGAATATATTCAATGTTAAATGCGCATGATCATTTATGATTGAACGAATTTCGCAAGTATACTCGTTAATTTTGTCAAAAAAAAAAAAAATATAAAAAAAGGGAAAAAGAAAAGAAAGAAAGAAAGAAAGAAAGAAGAAAAAAGGTGCCTACCTCGATACATGGATCGCACATAATAAAGTTACAAGTATTGCCAGCATGTTTCTTTAGATCACCGTCTAGCTCTTCGAGACAAATGGTGCACGGGCCAATTTCCTCTCCAATGAGTACGGCAGCGCTATTTTGACATGCCTTTCCGTTCGCACTGCCTGTATCATCCCAGACAACGTCACAGCCAACTTTCACAGATGCTCCAGTACGAATCTCGCGATCAACAACAGCACCATTGTCGGTAGTGGCGATACAAGCGTTATTGGCTTCGATATCGGAAATAGCATTTCCGTCTTCAAATTTCAAAACAAAGGCGTTGGGTGGTTCGGACAACTCGAAGGCGTATACAGTACGATTAGTATCGTTGACGTATCTCAACAGCGAATTGTCGTCCTGCAAGGAAAAGGGCCACTGAGATATTAACGACTCATATCCGCAGGAACACACGCACTAAGTTATTAAATACGTTCGTTAAAAACTTTATAAGAAGTAATTTGTACGATGAAATGTAGCCCCGTAACGAAATCTTTGAGTTACGAGAATGTTCTTTCATAGGTGGTTCAAAATCCTATATTGTCGGAGAGTCGTATCGACGGTTGTCGTCACTAGCGAACAGACTGTCTTCTTTACTCTCCGTTTAAACGACCGAGGAGATATTAGAAAAGAGGTCCAGAAACATTATTATAGAAGCCTTTGTGCCTGGGTGCAGTGGGTACAATAGGAGTTACAGTGTCACAAAGATTTCAATATTATGGAAAGTGCTGATATGCCATAAATTTTCCGATAGACATTGAATACGCGGAGCCCTGCTCCTTTTTATGAGCATCTCCGCGCTCCTTAAACCTAGGCCACTTTTTTTCCGTAATTCGTTCCTAAATGTTGAAACAAGACAAGTAAGTACTTGTTGTTTACCAGAATCCGGGCGATGTGATTTTCGAGTACTTCAGCCATAGCTATGTTGCCAATAGCGACACGATGTTCCTTGCCCAAAGTTTTCAACAGTTCCTCCTTCAACTTGCCAATTCTCGATTGCTTGTTCAAAGAGACAACGCATCTTGTCGGAGACTCGCTATTGGCCGGCACGTAAGTAACGATAAGCTGCCTCTCCATTGCATGTGGTAACGGGACAGACAGATACATGAATGGTTCGTAAGTAACTGACACGTGTTTACATACTTCGCATATCACCTGTAAAAGACAAAGTGTATACTTTACCATACGAAGCTTATATTTAACCTGAAATACATTTTATGATCCATTCTTTTCTGTTTATGTGTACGGTAATATGAGCCTCGCATTCCTGGCTCTAGTCACAGCGGGGAGGAACTCTTACAATTTTTATATAGGAGAGGTTTTTTCTTTTTATGTAATATACCTTCCAATAATTAGCGAGTTTTATGAACTCTTTCACGTTAAAATGATACGCTATCTGCTAACTATTCATATTTCACTTACCGTGCTTTTAAATTGCCCTTGAAACGTGTCGACGATAATGCTTCTGTTAGATCTTAGATGCTTTGCCCAGTGCATGTCTGCTTCGAGTTCCTCTTGAGGAGCTATTGCTCCATTTTCGTTGTTCTGTAGTCCTCTGGAGCATCGCGTTACACCACCACCGCAGCTACCACCACCACCACCACCACCACCGTCACTGTCACTGCCAATGCCACCACTACCAACACGACCGAAACTCGTTCCGAGTCCATCGCGTTTATGATTTTTTTCCTGATCTTCTAGTCTCATTCTCTTTACATTGCACTTTTCCAAACCGGAATCATATTTGACATAAGAACCGCCGCTAGATAAGCTATCCATTGCGCAATTCATCTTTTGAACATTAACCTCTTTTATCCTCTTGATACTGACGCTCTTATTGTCAAAATCATGATTTTCCATTAGGTTTGAATTCTCCAAGGTCATTCTGCGAATATTATCCTTTGGAAACTTTTGCGAGTCATAATGAATCTCGTTATTGCATTCTTGCGGTGTTACAAGGAAATTGGCATTACTCGTTTTTGCATCCTTCAGAATGTCATAGAGACCATGGTACTGCGCGGCTACATTTTTTGAGAGGGCAATCAGCTTATCGAATCTTAATGGCTGGCAGCTGGTAGTATTAATTCTGTTTGTTGCGTGGACTGTTAACTGCTCCTTATCTCGCATGTAATCATTCTGGTCCTGTTCTCTTTCTTCGTCGTCGTCGTCGTCGTTGTCGTCTTCGTCATCCCTCTCCTCGTTTTCATCGATTTTCTCGTCACCATCTTTTTCGTTCTCCTCGTCTCGACTACTTTTATTCGTTTGTGTTATGTTATGAATAAAAGTAGTTTTACTCGTATCGACTACTTCCTCCGAGTCCAATGTTTCTTCGTCGTCGTTGTCATTCAAAGGCAATCTTTGAGGTGAATTTGCTGTACTGTCTAGCTCGGCCATCGGCGAGTCTAAATCTGAATGTATGTACACAAAGATTACAGGAGCTCTATGGAAAATTTAGGCCACCGGACAGCGTAATATAATTATAATGTATAACGGACGAAAGAACCCATGAATTATATTGAAATGGAAAAAGATCGTTACCTCGCGGAGAGCCAGCCATAGTAAGATTTGGGCTATTAGGACATTCGGGCCATGGTGAATTTTCATACATTTCCATAAGCTCAATATTACAGTTTGAATTACTGATGGCAGTAATAATAGGTTCAATGAAAGAACGTTTTCCCACGTTTTCATTTTGACTAGTTGTATTGGCAGTGGTTGTGGTAGCAGCAGTAGCAGCAACAGTAGCAGCAGTAGCAACAGCAACAGCAGCAGCAGCGGCAGCAGCAGCAGTAGCAGTAGCAGTAGCAGCAGCAGCGGCAGTAGTACCAACAGGCATCTGGCAGATTTTGGCAGCTGTATTCGTTTGTTCGTGAAGAGAATCGAGCAGAAGTGCAAGAAACTCTTGGCAGTCATGCTGAATATAAAAAGGCATAAAACAAAAGATGTTACATTTGCACGGTAATAACTTAGAGTAACAAAATTACTGTTACTGTTTTCATTTCTACCTATGTGGCTCACCTGTCTATAATCTTTAAATTGCGAGTGATACGCGCCTAGAGTTTGCTTAAATTCGGTGGGCCTGACAACACTGTATCTTCCAGACCACATTTTACCGAGGAGCGAACTAAAATGAGCCATCAGCGTATCCGGAGGTGGATGCAGTAACTTTTGTCCTCTCTGCTGCAACTCCAAAAAATGTCGCAGCACAGGAGGGGTGGCAGTGAGACACTGTAACCCCGCAGCCATAAAACACGTATTACCGAGATTTCGCAAGCCACAGACGCCAGCAGGGGTGCTAACTTCTATAAGAGAAATGGTACTTATTGATTATGATCTTGACAAATACGAATATTGTAGTCGGCTTATCACTGAATACGCTAATATGGACAAATGAAAGGATTATAAAATACTTAATAAGTCACATATGGTTATCCATGACACACGTATAACAGAGTTTAGAATGCAGTCTCAAGGATTCAAATAAATGTCAAATGATAATAAAGAGCAGAATAGCATTTCTTTGCATCAAGTATTTGTTCTATCCATATTGTTTAATGCAACTATGACACAGTGAGTAGACGATCGTTATCATCGTGTTACCAATCTATTTCGGTGATTTGAAGGAGAGTACCTTACAATTCATAACTGGGTATTATCTCACCAATCACAGAATCATCCTGCGTCTCTCCTGTATCAGCAAAAAGGTTATTTAGTATTGGAGTGACAGGTGGTAAGAACGGTCCATGTTCCATGCTTATACAAACTTCTTCCATGGGATTGGCTCCAACATCTGTAAAGTCATCCAATCCAGGAGGTGCTGGCAATGGAATTGCATAATCAGACGCTGAACTATTTGCTTCCGTCCTAAATAACAAAGTACATGAAGATTAATAAAATTATGTAACGATAGTTTTTATATCGTGCAACTGTGGGACTTTGTTTTATATTCTTTTTGGGCCAAACTGCAGAATATGACTCCTTACTGAAATTAACTGCAAATTGTTTAGGGCTAAATCGCAGAATACAACTTCTTCTTCGAGTTAGCTGTGTATTGTTAAGTCTTTTTTACATGTAGTTCCTCAAGAAGGAGTTGTACCCTGAAGTTTTACCACTTTTTGTTTTTTTAAATGTATTTGAAAAGAACTAACCAGGTATTTTCAATGCCCATGTCGGTTTCACTAACCAGCAAATTATCCTCTTGCAGCGTCAGGTTATGATCTAAGGATAAAGTTAATGGGCTCAGTCCGGTTGATTCTGGGAGAGGCAAATCTTCTGATATGTCAGCACTATCAAATAATTCAAAAATTTCACTGAATTCATATATCAAATTGTCTCCACCTTCCAAGGATTTTCGCTGTTTGTCCATTCGGACTACACTGTTCCTGAAATATGTTAATTCATATCATAGTTAATCAACATATAATATGAAAAGAAAACTAATTACCCAATTAGGACACTATAAAGACAAGCACATACTTGATCGACGCATGATGAAGAACACTGATCACATGGTTATACAGAAATCAGCAGTACTCTGAACATAGATTTCAAACTGAAATAAAAAAATGTATCACTTATGTACTTTGCCAAAGGAGACTAGAATGAAAATAGGATAAAATACTAGAATCGATGAGTGAATGACTAACTTTAAATTTATTGTTATCGAGAATGAGGCTGCCTGAGATTGCCACAAACTCGCGGTTATTTGAAATTCAGATAGAAGCGAATCGCGACGACGTTTTTCGAGACTACTGTCTACATGCCAATAATGTGTCAAGTCAAAAGAAGATTCAACGAACATTTTTTAAGTTCGTAAAAAGAACAGTGTTTGCTCTTCCGTAGATGGGCAACAGTAACCACATTTTCTTTTAATCGAATTTACTCACCTATATCGCGTGGATTTCAGTTGAGTTCCTCTTGTGTTTTTACCTGAAGATATCTAATTCGCCATTGTAGAAAATTGTATTTCCGTCAGTGATGGCTGCTGATGGCGCTAAATAAAATCCCTAGAGGATACACTGTTATGTCCCGGCCTAGTGATAAATAATCTCACTAGAATTGAGCGGCGAATTTAAATAAAGGATTAAAATGGAATCACGATTTCTTTCTCCAAATCAGAATTCAACGCTTTCACATTCTCGGTCTGTCATTAACGCATAAATAAGGTATATTCTAAATAATTCGGAGAAAGCTTTCTAGCCGCTACACGTGTATAAACATATGGGTTACAAAGAATGTAGGCATGGGCCATTTGTTTATTGCTATCCTAACGAGTGAGTTTCTCAGGAACTTTCACTCCTGGTAATAAATCGAGTCACTGGAGAGAATCGACGGGCTAGCGGAATGTTCGGTTAAGAGATGACGCTGTCTGTCCATGTGCTTCTCCAAATTAACCAAGGATAGGATGTGCATGAGTCCTTTCTGCATAAGACAAGGCCTTCGATCTTGAGTCCAGACAGCGAGGCGCCACACGGTGGCCCTCCACAATGGACAGTGTACATACGAATGTGCATGAGTGCGGATGCATGAATGAGAAATATGAAGGACTGTATCCCTTGGGATCCAGAAGAGCAGTTCGATTTCTGGTCTTAAAGGGTGTACTTCGAGTCTATATTGTAGAGTCAATTAGCTAGATTCAGTTAAGGTAGATTGATTTAGACTAAATCACATTATAATTAAAGTAAATAAAGTTAGTTATAGTGCTCTCCAATAGCACCTGCATTTTTATTTCTAAAGCCTTTATACAGTTGAAAATACATAACATTATCGCACCAGAAATCAACTTTAATCCAGAGGATGAACACCGTTGGAGTACTAATCAGAGCTTCCATGGTTAACCTAATCCATCTAGCCAAATTCACGCAGTCAAATCTGCCGCGGAAACCATGGTATAGAATGAGACAACGTATGTTCAGTTCATGGACACATTTTCGACCATTTCAGCGCAGCACGAAGATTCCGACATTTTTCAGTGTTCTATGTTTATATCGTGATATGTGACCCATCCCCCCATAACCCCTCAATAACCTGATCCTGATGGTATGTGAAGTGTGTGCTGAGATATTTATTGTGCATAATAAAGGCGACAATTTCAATAATAATGCCGTCCTGTAAAGTGAGAAGTTGCAAAAATTAATTTTAATTAAAAATAATATTTGTTACGAAAGTTTTCAACAGTTAAAACTCTGCGCCTTATAGATCCTCTGCGACGTAGATGCGTCAGAACACCGTGGTCAAACCCACTGAACTCTAACCATACTGAAATCCGTACGGCAGTGATGGGGACGTGAAGAGAGAGACAGCAGGGATACAGCCAAGTGTTGCAGCCTGTCTGTATCACAGACTGTACAGTGTCTAAAAAAAAAGTTTAAGCTGGGCTAAAGCAGTGCGCACGGGGAGGACTAAGCCGACATAACATAACCTGAAATAGTGGCACATATATTTTATTTCGAAGACTGCTAAATATTTTTTATCATTTTTATAAGGCTCTATATTTATATCATGGAGCCTATGAGCCATATGATTTATATGTACTTGTATTTCAGTGCTCTTTCCATCACACCACGGCTGGCACTGATATGCCGGCGGGACAATATTTTTGCAGGGCTTGTACACAACATGCGCAGTTGAATTCGAAAAGGATAACCTCATCCACACGCGAGTGAGAGGCCGGCACGCTGGCCGGATTACCTCTAAATACAGGGGGCACGGATTCCAGTATGGTTAGAGTTCAGTGGTCAGAACATACCTTGTCTCATTCTACCATGGCGAAAATGATAGGGGCGACCATCGACATATAGCCGATGGTGGCGACGATCAGAATGTCAGAACTAACTTTCAGCATGGCCGCCGTCTCTGTTTCCAGGCTATTGAAACTGGCGACTCAAACATCATTGAAAATTTACGACAAGTCTAGCCTCTGATTCTCCCTAAGGATTTTATTCTAATAATAAAACACTGGCGCAGTGAGTACTTCGCAGCGATACATACATCCATTCTTGAAGTTTAAAAGCATAATATTATAACGTTAGCCTTTCATTTATTTTCATAGTGAGATAGCCGGCAGTAGCTGAGGTGACATGCTGACTTGAGAACACAGGTCTTATCGAGTATACGTATCAAGTCTCTGGAAACGTCGAATCACCGGCCAATCAGGAGAAAATTTTTTTTAAATTTATACGATGAAATTCGAGCAGGCTATGTCGTGCGAGAATTAATTTGTTTTCGTCAAAGGAAGCTCGATGGAAAAGAATACACAGATTGAGGACAAAAAGGGTTAATATAATGGCGGAGCGACTTGCAAAAGAATTGCCAACGGAGAGTACCTGCTGGGTGACTCTTGTACTTGCAGAAGATTATCGCATTGTCGCTAATCGAGAAAAACTTGTTCGCTCAAGTCATTACTTTGCTTCTTTATTCTCAACTAACTTTAATGATTACTTATGCACGGAAATAAACATAAACTATGACATTTCACCAGACATTTTGCAAGTGAGCCGTAAATATTAAATAATTTTCTTGTTTTTCATGTAATGTCTTTGCGTTTTTCATTAAATTAAATTTTTGCAGGATTTTGTCGATTGGACTGCGGAGGCAAATAATAAGGGAACTGTAGCCGAGGAGACGAAATGTTTGGATAAATACAGGATGGACAACAATTATACGGGTCTGATGGATTTACTGGAATTGAGCGTTCTTTTTGCAGCTGAAAATTTAAGTGAACGTCTGACTGATATAATAGTGGAGCATTGGCTCTTGGTTAAAAATGTTCTAAGTATATGGTTATTCGCACACGATTTAAATTTGCGATCTCTGAGAGATGTTGCATTTGCAATGTGTCTCGATCGACTCGAAGAGTTGCCAGTCTCGTTGCTTTTGAAACTTTGCCAAGTTCATTTCGTACAACTCGTTGGTAATGTTAATGCGCGTTGTCGCAATAATAGTTTCTTACGAGATTTGACGGAACAGTGGATTCAGCGGAATATAGATAATGGAATATTACCTGCGAATATGGCGATTCTTCGTTCCGTAGGTATTTTTTTTATCAATTTAGCGAAATTAATTTACCAGTTAATAATTGCAGTAAATTGCTAGAAAATCATAGGTTTATTTGTAGGTGCAAAGTATGATTGCTGGATCGGAAAATCAATGTAACATGGGAAAGAGAAAGTATTTACATTGTGTAGTTGGAAGTAAAATTGGCGAAAAAGGCGTGATCAGAAAAGCATGTATATTTAGATGGGACGGCGAGAGATTGTCAACACTAATCGACGAGACTAATCGCGACTGCGATATTCTTGGAATGGTCAAGGACCTCGTTGGGATGCAGGTCGTGGGCAGAGGTGAAATTGAATTGACCCATTGTAATTTTTATGTTGTATAGTATACATTAAGTGCCGATTATAATAGCGCCACAGCGATTGAGTACTTACTCGGAATCGCCAATGTCAGGTTAGTTGAAAAAAAAAAAGATTTTCTTTTGACTCTTGAGATTTTAGTATTTACTTCGTCGGAGGCGAACAGGGATTGGGAACTGGCCGTTTCAATACAATTATATGGCGTTACTGTCTGATATTAAAAAAATTTTATCGGTTTTCGAGGTAAGCGTCATAAAAATATCTGAGCTAACGAACGAACGTGTAAACAAATGTACTTGTCATACAAATAAATGATTTCTTTTTTGCAGTTTGTTGGAACCACGAAGACACATGGCTGTCGAATTTATCGATAATAATTTTATGGCGGTAGCAGGGGGAGTGGGACGGCATCGATTGAAGTTGTCTACCATGAATATCTTGAATATACACACGGGTAAGTGCCAGCATATGATTTTTGCGTTATAAGTTAGACAACTCATAATCGGTGTCGCTTTGGTTCTCAACATTATAGTCAAAGCAGGAAGGTCATTCGTTTGTTATAGGCGTATGGATAAAGGCCGCCAATATTCCTGAGGACTTTACTGAAGTCATATCTACTTGTGTAGTGGGCAGTAAACTTTTGTTGTATAAGTCGGCTCTTCATGCTTATGATCTGAAAACCGACACGTGGTCGACAGTGTGGCCTACTTTAGTTACGGAGAGCGATACATCAACTCGAAAGCTCAACGTGGCCCAATTTCTAATGTGTTATAAAAATATGTTGTATATATGTGGTGAGTTGATTATCATTGGTCGCATGTATTTTTTTTTTTTTTCTAACGCGCGATGCGAATATCATTCTTACATTTTTTTTCTAGATTCTACGAGCGGCAGTCGTACATGTTTATGGATGATCGATGACATTGCCAATCCCGTAGCACGTATTGTTTTCGAGTTTTCTACATTGCATCAGATTCACGTCGCCAATGGTGCGCAACTTATTGGTTTTGCTCATGACAGAGAAACCGTGACTGTTGAAATTGGAATGATTGGTGACAATAATGTTTATCTTTATGGGCTCTATACGACACGTGCACAGGATTTAGACATGTTAAGGTTTGAGGTGCGCATGGGATCTTTCAATGTAATCGATCCGGAATCTTTATATCGACAAAATTGACGAATGTACACACTGTAAACATTTTGCATGATCATAAGTAAAAGGCGATTACGAATGTACCTCAGTTTTATATATTTTTATTGTATACTCGCACTATCCTACACGATTAATCATATAAACACCTTGTTACGCAATGGTAATTTATGGAAGAATAATTTTTATGTATATATTCTACGCATTTATATTGCATGTCGGAATATTCTTATACATACAGTAAATTTAAGTAAAAATATAATTTTAATACAGCTTAAAGCTGCTGCCTAGCTACTTTACCTATGTATATCGTATATCGCGTGACGTCACAAGCGAGGAAATCTATTTTTCGTTTTTCTCTTTTATTTCCACATGACTTATCAAAATATTTGATAAGGTCACTTCATTATGTGATACGGCTAGCTGGTCTTCTCGATTTAGGTGCGAAAAATGTATCAATTTCTAGAAGAATATACGTAAAGAAATCATGCATCTCTGACCTGTCAAAACACTATGGACGCCGCCACTACGACCGTTCACTAAAACACATTTTTCTCAGAATCAGGATACTTATTACACTTAAGCCGAGAAGAGACGCCTTTCTATGGATGATATAAAGCGGGCTGATCTAATAATTTTATCATCAAATGTCTAGCAGATGCAAAAAACGACAAATTGTAATCGACTCAGCACGCTCTTCAGTCCTAAGTCATGTACTGCTGATTATATGCGCATCTACGACGCGCAGTATATGTATAACGTAGGACGGAAGATGCTGCTGAGTAGGGGAAGCATTCTACTCTAACCACGTTTTTTATGCGTCAGAATCGTTTGAGCCGATTGTACATAACCTAATCGAATCTAATTATTTAAATAATACATTATTACTCACCTATGGAATGACAAACCTTGCGATTTGTCTGATCTTTTCTTGCAGATAACACATGTATACACCATACCAAAGAATATTTACAATAAGAACATTTTTTGACGTAACGTACTCGTATTGCAAGCGTCATTATATTACGCCACGCAATTCATAAGCAAAGGGAACAGCATCTAACAGTAAGTACGTTCCTGACATCCTTTGAGCGTAAAAAAAATAGCCAATGGGAACATTAGAAAGGGAGAGCTATTGGCCGCCACCTCGCTTCCTCTTTGTCTATTCAAGCCGACACTTTTTCAATGAGCCCAAAGTACGGATCGCGTATCCATACTATATGTCGATGGGGGATACCAAAAGCATGGCGCTAAATCGTAGAGGCGAGGCTGGAAGTAAAATATTGTGAATATCGCCTCCGTCGATAATGCGGATCCCGTCGTAGCCGAGCTGACCGCGATCACGAACGTGTAGCTTGGCGAGCAGACGCTCTCCCGGCCACTTACCACTGGATCCCAAACCAACACTTACAACGAGGCAGGTCATCGAGTATGTCCTAAATATTTTTTTTCTCTGCGATCCTAAGTTCGAGCGCACAGTGTAGGCTGGATAAGTTAAATATGAAAAAAGCCAGCAACTCATGCCTGCCTGCAATGAAGCGTATGATGCCACCAGTAAATTTAATTGATATTTTACCGATATTGAGCAAAAGAACTATTATTAAAACATATCAGGAACTATTAGAACTCATTGTGCCGTTTCCGCTATACATGCCATACTAACTTTGTTTAAAGACTTGCACAACTAGCTACTTTGCGAATGAGACTTCTCACCTCGCCAAGATAGCAACGTTGTTTTAGATAGGACCACGTCTACCTGCGATTACGAATTCCCTAGTGGAAGACTGATCAACAGCACGACGTTTATATTCTAACGGATCAACTATGTAATCAAATTTCGCTGGTCGGAGGCTGCTTTCAGACACGATTCCATATTTCATCTATATAAAAACAACAAAAGTCAAAATAGAATCACACGAGAGTAGACGGACCTATTATTTCCGTTCCCGTCAGGCATATCGTATAGGTAAACCGCGTCTTACAATCATATTTATACAATTTACTTTCCTAACACTAATCATCTGTATATATCATTTATAATCATTCTTACTTTCCGCTTACGTTTATATATATTCTTCGCTTACTAACATCCAGCATTCTCTAGGCTGGACCTACACTAACCTTTCTTGTATTCCGTTGTAGGACAATATATTTTCCTTTTGTAATTTGTAAAACAAAATCTCACTTTCATTTGTTCCGCCTGATATCTTTCCTAAATTCCTAACAGTTGATTCTGGCCCGAACCCGCTTTTCTGGCACGATTCGGAGAACCGTATCGTGCGAATAAGGTTACAACATATGTGTTATATCTATGTTGCCCAAAACCAGTCATTTTGACTGCTTGGGAAATTTTAAATAATCAAATGACTCTTATTATTGAATTGAATAAATTTCTTATATGACCAGTTCGGCTCTGTATTGAAATAACAGTTTTCATTTTTTATCGATTTTCGTCACATGATAACATACAAGTACATGATAAATTATCGATTTGGGCGTATACTTAATAAGTTGCAGCTGCTCAATATGCTAAAGTAGTACTTGTTATTCGAATCTTTATGCAGTGATACTTGTTCTAATAAGTTGTTTATTTTGACGCTTATGCGCCCTAAATTCATGAAAGAAATGTAGAATATTTACTAATAACTTGTTATATAACTGTAAATAATATAAGAAATATTAAAAGTTAATTTCAAAACAAATTTCTTTACACAATAGTTATTCTTTCACAATGCAGTCATTTTGACTGCTTTGGGCAATATAGGTATATACTAGATAAGTTTTAATCTTTCTAGTGTTAAGAGATTTAAAAAAAAGTGCGGCGCTGGAGCTGACACCCGTGTACACTGCGGGACATTAATGCCGTCCTTGGGTGGAGCTAGTAGGAAGCGTGAGTAGGGCGATCGGCAGTGACGACTGGTGGCAAGCAAGCCAGGCCGCCGCGTAGAGAGGGTAGCCATTCCCCAAGCTTGGGACGGCATGACTGTCCAGAGTCCACGCGTCCCGTATAAGAGTGTCTCAGACAATTTCAACAGAGTCCGCATAAGTCCCTCTCACTCGCAGTTAGTGGACTCCCAGAGATAGCCTGCACTGTGTATAAGAGCTTCTCACTTGGGTCTAGCGCTAGTCGCCCATAAGACCCTCTCTCACTCGTTGGCAGCGCTGACCTAGCGCGTATAAGAACGTCTTACTTGGATCCAGCGCGAGTCGCCCATAAGAGCCTCTCACTTCAAACATTAGGCTCTCTTATTATAATCCGAAAGGCCACTGCTGGCAGCGAGTGAGAGGGTCTTATGGGCGACTAGCGCTAGAACCAAGTGACGCTCTTTGCGAGATACAGGCCGCCGAAGGGAAAATTTCGCGTATTTTCAGAATCCATGACCGGGTTTTCCCTGTACGTGGCCCTATGGCAATTCTATATGTGCCAGCCTCTTCTATGGACCATTCTGAGTTTCTGCACTACGGGATCTTTACAAATTACAACGGGAAAGTCGTAGATCCAGAGAGCCCGAATGGCTAGGAGGTGTTGATTGCTGGCTGACTGGCTGGCTGGGAGTATGGGGTTTGGGGAGTTGAATAGGGTGACTCGGTGGGTTAGTGGTAAATGGCCCAGGTCACCGGCGAATATCGCAGTTACGCATTAGAAGGATGCGGAGACAACTGCTCCCTGATTGGTTAACGATATTACCCAGCTAACGGGCCAACTCTCTCGCCTCCTGGTTCTATTCTATTTCCTTGACTACGGCTGCAGCCACCGCCGCACCGTCTCTCGCCATCTCTCGCGTCTCCATGCATCCCCGTTATATGACTTTACGCTGGAAGCCATTGCGCGAAAAAGCTCGTCGCCCCTTTGGAACCGAACGACGCGAGGATTTCCTGGAAATCCGCGTAAAGCGATCTCCAGGCAAAAACGAAATTTAATAGAGAGTCCACAGTGTTCTTCTCTCGTCGGTGCGCTATAAACGCGGAATGGGCAAAATCCAAAAAACTCGCGTGGACGAGGAAAAATTATTTAGTACACAGCGGAATCTGCGGTTGATCACTCGGAAACAAGAATGGCTGGAGATATAGTCAGACCCTACCGCGCAGCATGGGAACACTTTCA